AAGGCTTGTTGTGGCTCAAAGAGAAGGCTTGTTGTGGCTCAAAGAGATATGGGGTCGTGAATACGTACAATGGTTACGGAGGAATTTGACCTTCGTTTAGACATCTTTAAATATCGGTCTTTTAAAATGCGAACGATCGCGAGACCAAAGAAGACTTCTGAACAGGAGGATGGCTCTTGAAGCGTTTCGGAGCCTATTTACAGCTGTTTTGAGTTTAATAACTGCCTGTCCCACAGAAAACTCCGCCATAGTAACAGGTGCAACGTTGTCTATCTGTGACAAGGAAGAACAGCCTTGTTTTTCAGATCCAATTTGCTATTGAATGTCACCACGACTCAGAATGGACTTCGAGAACCTGGCTCATTCCATAGAGCGGTTGAATAACGCCGCGTTTCATTTCCTATATACACAAGTAGAAGTGGAGGGACAGCTAAATCGAATTCTCGGATTGAATTCCGTAACGAATGGACTTTCGCAATGCCATTTTTCCTTGAAGGTCTTCTAGCTTTTGAATCCGTGTACGGCTCTGCTTCACGTTGAAAGTGAAGGATCTCGTGTTCACCGAAAGGTCGAAACTATGTGCTCGTCATAGCTGTTCTTCGTTACTTTGCTGATTGTGCGCGGTGGGCGAGGGATAGTATCCTTGTAGTAGGCCTACAAAAAAGCTGTCAAAAATTCATAGAAGTTTTCTTGCCACTATTCTTTTGATGTATTCTGGGTTCTTGCCCAGTTATCATGAATCCCGCCTACCTTGTTGTAATAGATTGTTTGGATAAAGCTATACACCCTTCAAGATGTGTGGAAGCCCAGTAAGTGTGTAGCAAGCCACACAGCTTCTCAGTTCCCACATCACGCAACACATGCATAGGCCCAACAGCCAAGTTTGGGGCGGTGTGAATGAAGGTGAGTAGAGGAAATCCTCCCGGAAAGTGGTCATAACGACCTGGCTATTCCGCACACTACGAATCCACTTCCCAGCTGCATTGCAAACATGAAATGCTAGAGTTTCTTCTGCAGTCTCTCTACGTTAGAAATCGGACTTGTTGGAACGACGAGAACATTTGCGACGAGTACAGCGAAATGTTCATCCGCTGATCCTAAAGATGGTGGGGCGAGGACTGACATATAATGGTCGGCAGTCCTTCACACATATTTGCAGAGAATGGCTTACATTAAAGACAGCTCCCGCGATAAAAGTGTCAAGGATAATTGCTGATCAATTATGAAACAGTAGCTGATAAGTAATTCCTCAATGAAGGAAAAAAGAAACAAGAGCCCTCAAGAACACCATAAACAAAATCGCCCTGACAGTCACACCTCCCTGCGGTCTCTGTGCAAGCTCACAAATCACTTTGTCACATCTCCCAGTAGTGGATATCATCGAATGCGAAGAAAAGAAAACAAAAAACAACAGAAACATAGAGGAAAAACTCTTGAAAAGAAAAGGAAACATTTAAAAAGCCGGCGTCCGAACTTAGGGTTACGGTAGCGAGCATGTTTTAGTGTAGTGAAGTGCGTCGAGCTTTTGCACCACAGAAATTGCATCATTCGTGATTTTTACGCGTTTTACCTTACGAGATGGGTTGCTGTTGACTGTACGTGCTCCCAATGAATAAAATGTGATGAAGGAGAGCAGAATTATTTACGAGCACGAGCGCGGTCAGCAAAAAATACATGCAGTTCCGATTAATGACTGCCGTCCCAACAAGGAGGCGACTAGACGAACTGGATCAGCGGGTCTCTCCTGTCAGAGGGCAGCTAAGACAAGATTGAGGGCCGGTCCGTTAGCGCTGAGCTGGGCGTTGTAGAACTAGAACTTTGAGCGGTTCTAGCTCGCTGAGGAGTCGCGAGAGTGAGACAGTATTTAGCTTGGGGCTGAACTACCTGCCCAAGGAAGGACGACCACTTGGGGTGTACCTGACTTGGGAGCGCGGATGCTTTTCTTTAGAGTGTATGGGGAGAGGTGACCGACGCACTGGAGATTAAGGCGCACTTAAGCTCCTGAGGTGTCGCTTCTTCATTAACTCGTAGCCGCTAACGCAGTTACGCAACTTTAGTTTAACAGGAGTATTTCAGCAGTGCGGAACAGCTTCCTGCGAACAGCAATCACGATCTTAGAGTTCATTGATGGCCTTATGTGCCCGGCAGCCGTAAACCGCGCGAGGCCGGCAGAACGGCACGAAGTGTTGGAGACTTCGCGACGGCAGCGCTTCGGTCGCGCGTTCGGCGCGATCGATGCGCATGCTTTCAACTGCATTGATCGCGTCGAACGCGCGACTGAAGCGCTGCCGTCGCGAAGTCTGAACGCTGCCTAAGTCAATGTGCGAGTTTGTATGTCGGTTCACTTGGTATACTCGAAATCCCTGAGATCGGGTAGGCGTGGCTGCATGTTTCAACTTAACCTGAAGGTGTCTATGCTTCTGGTGAGATATTTTCATCTTGACACAATTGTTGTCGTGTCTCTGTCCAACACAGAACAAGATGACAGTTGTCCCAGACTGGAATATTCCACGAGTAACCAGTTCCGTGCCATGTTCAAATGCCACGCCTACTCTAGCTCAGGGATAAGGAGTGTATGTATGTTGGCATAGCCGTATCAGGCTAGCGAGGTTTGCAGTCATATCTATGCACTGGACTTATGGTTTGTAAGCATGCGCTGGAAAAGGGGAAAACAGCGATTGCTGGAAATTCAAAGACAAGCTGTATACCCACCTCTGTGGATCCTGGTCCTTGCCGTGCGTGAGGTGAATGGGTCCACGGCTGCAGTTGCGTTCCGCTTTTTCAGTCAAAAGTGCACAGAAACGGGGCTGGCTATACCGACACCCGGTGCTGACTCCATACTCCTCCTCGAACGGCCAACCAGGCGCCGAGCCATGGCCGAATGCACTGCTTGTCTGCGCTCTCTCACTTCTGATTGTTCTCTACCGCTGAGAACGTTTTTCGTTGCGAGATCTTCGCATCGACACAAGTGCTCTAACTAGAAAATAGCGTGGGCGGGAAGTGGAGACATAACTCGGACACCACTATCGTAAGGGCCTGTACCCGTGCATTTTGGAGCGGAGAATGTGGCACAATACTCCAGTTGCGGACCCACTATTATTTCAAGGATCGTCTTCAAAGCGAGTGTACAGTTTGTCTTTACCACAATGACCATGATGACCATGAGCAGAAACTGATAGTTACAAGCACGGTGTCTGAAGGTGATAGTTTCGTGAGCATCTGTAGATGATGCAGGCTGGGAGCTCCCCGACTTATGTCATTATGTGCACCTTACTGACTGCAACAGTCCTGCAAGGAGCCAGCAGCATGTGCGCAGTTCGGCCAATGACGTAAAGCTAAGGCTGCTATGTCTCGTTAGCGCACAGAGTGAAACATCGTCCGGGAGGTGCTCTGCCCGAGAGCCAATCATTACGCACGCATAAACGCTCCTTACCGCGGCGCTACCTTGTCATGGCGCAGGCCGACCACCAAATTATACGGGTGTAGATCCTGCACTCGGGCGCGTGAAGAGTTCTGGGAGTAATAGGTCGAATACAGGACGGTGCGCGTTTTGTCTAATCACAATAATGTACGCCCGCCAAAACCCTTAGCTGGGCCAGTGAAAACCGAGAAACGAGACTTGTGCGATTCGACTTCAACGTCGACCGCTCCTATACCCTAGCTCGTCTCCAGACCCAGCGGACTGCACCGATGGTACCCGTCACCGCTTCGCTCGCCTGTCTAGCACTGGAGCACTAGGCAACAGCAACGCAATAGTAGCGCGCGACGCGCGTTTATCCGGCAAACTGTCTGAAATTCTACTCAGCTGTCTGTACATGAGTACCCGTACTTCCACGGAATGGTGAATAAGGCGTGACCTAAAAGAATGTATGGGGTCAAATGCTATCGAAAGCTGTTTATTGGTGATGCTCTCCTTCTTGCCAAAGAACAAGTGGCTGGACAGGACTAGGGTACGATCAGCCGTGATTATACCGAATGCGAGATGGATGGAAATAGTGACCTCTGGGACTCTCTCCGACTCTTCTCTCGATTCCAATTAGTGTCGAGCATTGCCTTTTGAAGTGGACAAAACCCAACGAGTGAAGCGCAGATCGTGCCAACAAAAGAACTTTTTCTGAAAGAATGGTTTCAAGCAGTAGTGAGCTTTCATGGAATAATAGCTGAGATGAGATGTGTGTTCAGAAAGCGTCCACACGAACTCAGCAGCTGCATGAGAAAACAGCTGATAACCCGGGTGAGTTGATAAGAATAAGGCGCCGTGACTACTCTATTAAAAAGGAAAATCTGTCTATATAGCTATAGAGAACACAATACTCCAATCGGAAGAAATTGCTGCATTCACACTTTGGCTCTCTCATTTCACTCTTCTGAAATATCCTTGAAAATTTCGATCATGATAGTTGCCTGAAGCAGGGATCCGCTTTCTATTTCCTCTAAAGATTCCTCAGAAAACTGAAACTTCAAGAAGTGTCAATGTCGTTCTCTGCAGATCCCATGTCGTTGAATCTGTACACACCTGGTGATGGTCTCTATCGTACCCATGTCACTGTGAAAGATATAGAGGAAGGACATGCATACGACAAGAATTGAACAGCAAGTCGCGCTGTTCGGTCGCCTAACAAAACCGCTAAGGACATCGGAGACGGAAATGTGAGTATCCATGCTTGCCACTAAAATGTGGAATAGATCTTCAGGAAGGCGAGAACTGAAGCATATGGATGACTAATTCGAGGAAATTATTTTATATTCATGGGTGATTCGCAAAAAAAAGTATGCCAACAATCATTTCGTAAATTGGCCTTGAGAAGTGCTCTTGAACTGATGTATGACGCGCTTTCCATTCTAAGTTCTCCAGGGCGGTTTTTGGCGCAATTAATATACTAACCTAATATTTGTGACCACGTCTTTTTTACACGTCGTTGGCAATAACTCCTGATTAGAATCTGAAAAACTACTTTTCAGTTGATTTATATTTTTTATTGTTTGTATATGTTACACTATGATTTCTAACATTTATTGTTATTGTTTGTATAGCCAGAGAACAGAGATTGACGCAGTTTGTTCATTGAACTTTCTTTTTATCAAAGCAAATATACAGTAACGC